TTGTTAACACTAAAGACTTCACCTCCCTTCATGGGAGAAAGTCAACCAATCCAATCAAATCTTTACCAGAGACCTCTAACAACCAAGAGAATTGCACACAGGTTCACCTATCCGCGGGCTCACACAACTCCTAAACGAGAAAAAAAACTCACGACCAACGACGTCCTTACCAAGACTGAAACAATCCGAATGGGTAATAAACCCCGTTCTCATAAGAAACTGACAAGCTAAATCCGGGCATACCTAACACCCTATCACACATTACTCATCAAACGTCCAACCATGGACACCTAATCTCACTCGAGATGAAGCTGAACCCCTTACATACACGGAGATGAACCACACAAGATACCCGTATGAAATGACGACTCAAATCTATATAATCTAGCAATAAATTAACCATCTCACTTTACCAAAACCCATTGGGAATCCTGCGGGGACCGAACACTGGAACCTCGTACCTTCAATGCTAGGCGGAACGAATCGAACACGCAACACCTACATGCTAAGTGCTAGAATGCAACTCATGACAGGATTACCATACAAGAGCATCAATGCTCACAACTCACTAACACTAAAAACATTCACTACCTGTCGAGCACCGCGTCCCATTCTACTTAGAAATATTCATTCCAAAATTGTAGTTTCTATGTCATAAAATGATTCCTCCATCTCTACCTCCCCAGGTGACACCACCTCGAACCCGTGCATATAAAACTCATGACCTCAGTCACTGTAACCTACTGACTCATCAGAAAAATAGAATGAATGAATGGCAACACCGCCCTTACTGGCTCTAAAAGATTAAATAGTTTATAATCGCCTCGATCGACTCATAACCCCATTACCTACCTAACAACATACGACAAGCAACTCATAATCTCTAATCCACATTCAGATCATACCTTAAGCCGTTTTACTCATCAGCATCAAGACATCACACCATAACACCTCTATTACCATTCTTCGTGAATGATAACTCGAACCTCTCATTTGTCGAAACAATGAAATACCACTAGTAAATTCCCCTACAACATCCCAATGATGATACAAACACAGTGCAAGAGTATACCTCACTCTTAACACTCCCTATAGTGACCACTAACCCGTTACAAGGAAAAAAGAAAAAAAAAAAAAAAAAAGAATCCCTACACGGCAATGCCATGTCTACAAATCCCAAAACGGGAAAATGAACACCAAAACCAGTGCTCAGCGTCCAATTATATCCTTAAAACCAACTACAATAACAATCAATCACTAATACTTAACCGATTCCTCGAACCACTTTTCCTAAGGTAATATACATATTCAGCCAAAGAAATTAACATCACACCCTAGCATCGACATCATTACCTTTTCTCTTCACCTTCATTAGAACACCCTTAGCCCTAGACGAAAAATTAAATAGGGCTACCTGCTAAACCTACAAGATCACCCTCGTTGCAAATCACTCCAATCAATAAATTATCCCTTTGGATACTAAACCAGTAGTATTACCTTTCGATACACTAGACATGACCAAAATACAACTCTAGCTCACAGCTTTCTAATTCTAAAACATAATCCACACGGTAACACAGTACCTACCATCCATTACCTCATCCGCAAATGACCGAGCGCTTCAATGACCGCATACTCAAACAACACACACTACCTGTATTGCGCAAGTCCACATCATCTAGTTAGAACTGACCACCACATACAACCTCAAGACTCTCTCAACAATCGTGCCAACCTATAAACCCACTAATTAACTGAGCCATTTAACCGACTCAACAAGAGTCAAAACATCTATAACGTACATCCGTAGGTTTTCAAAAATAGAAATCATCTCTTAACAGACCAATCTCTAAAAAAGACTCCTTCAAGACCATTAATTGAATAAAATCTATAAGTCACTCACCCGGCATCGGCATGACTCTATTTGATGAGCGCTAAAAAGTGCTCATTTAAACCTCTTAAGCTTGAACATTCTAGGACCTTTATCTATCTTATTTTCCCGCTTTAGACTATTTTCGTGTTATTGTCATTTTCAGGTTCTTATCCCCAAAATAAGCTAACTCAGTTAAATAAGAACATAATTGAAGCAATCTTGAGATGAATCAAAAAAAGGAGCAAAGTAGGAGCAAAAGGAAGCAAGTGGTGCAAATTCAGCAAGTTCGATCGATCTCAGTAAATGTTCGATCGATCGAAAGTTCATCGATCTCAGCACTTCAAGATGGATCTGAGCTATTTTGTCCTTATCCAAAGATCCCACAAAGTTCGATCGATCCAACTTCTTTCAGATCGATCGAAAAGATTCCATCTTATCCAGTTGTACCACCCCACCTACCACTTTTGTCTCTTTCTCAAAAATATCTCCAAAATATCTTAAATTTGTCTTTATCCAAAAAGGCACCGCCATAGAGGATCGATCCAACTTAAATTCAATAGATCTCAGCCATGTTCGATCGATCTCACCACAAGTTTGATCGATCAAACTTCTCCAAATCCGAGAAAATGCAATTTCCAGCTCATTAAAAGTTATCTCATATCCAATCATCGGGAAGGAATCTTGGAGCACGAGCCTATATATTTGGGGGTGCCATTTGACATACCTATATAAGGAATATGAGCCACCTTTACATGAGAGACTTGATACTTGACTCTTGATACAATTTCCATATTCTTAGTGAGGAAGAAAAGAAGAAACGAGGCTAGAGACAGAAGTATGGAGTTCTTCCATCAACCAAGAAGAGGAGTAATCTCTACCATGGAGTTAGCCATTGAGGGTTGGAGGACACCATCCGTGAGTGGCTAGACATCCTCTTGGGGCTAGAATTAGCCCTAAGCATGCTTTCTACATCTTGACTTATGTATTTTTGAAGGGATTTGTATTGTAATACATGTTTTGACATATTTATATATACATAGATCTTGTTTATTCAATGATTTGTGTGGTTTAATACTTCCAATTGTTCATTTCATTCTATCCATATGTCTATGAATGCTAGAATAGATGTTCATATGCTTGTCTCTAGATGTTGTTTTTTTATGCATGTCTATGTGTATTGATGCTATAGATCTAGAGATTGTTAAGATATAGTGCTTAATAGAATACTCTTGTGGTTTATTTGATGGTTCATACTCATTTCTTAATGGATTGTGCCTCTCCCTTAATTTAATTAGTTTAAATTCATGTCATTAGCTTAATTGTAGTGTAGTGGTAGTTTAGTTATTAAATGGGAGGACAATCCATACTTGTTGTTTGATATTCCATACTTATGAATGCAAGTGGCATATTTATCTATTTTTGTGATGTGTTAGGATTGTGAGCTTAAAGAGGAATTAATGGCTTAGTTTGATATATTGTGCTATTCATTGTGTTGTCTAGACAATGTATGCTTAATTGGTCATCTACGCTTGTTGAAACAACCACACACACACCTTTGTTACAATACATGCTTTTCCCTTCATTAATCATTCAAGTATTTTTTTAACACATTGTTCATGCTTTCACTACGTTGGGTAGATTTCATGTCCGTGGTGAAGGTGTGTCGTCCATAAACCATTGCCCATTTTTTGGTTACTTCAAATAAGTCCTTCAATCATTTATTCTCTTTGAAACTATATTTTTCCAACATACCATTACATGCCAATAACCATTCATCTTTATTTTCATAATCGTATACACAATTGCTAAGGTTATGAGCAAAATAGTTCAATCTATGAAAAACATGACTCAAATTCAGCATGTGCTTTTTAAGCCTTAGAAATACTTCGATTAATTCTCAACATATGTTTCATTGGAGCCCTAATTAAGGCATGATTATGGCTTTTATTGACCGACACAACTTTGAATTTCCCATGTTTTGAAGAGTACATTTCATATGAGCTATTCAGCCATCCTGTAATAGGCTGATTGTACGAAGAAGTTTTGCTCTTGTTCTCTCTCCTTTGATCTTCCTTTGAACAGCAAAATGTAACACTCATGATGAACCCCTTCGCATTTTTTTCGCAAAATTTTCTCCTTACATCTAAGCCAAGTTTGCCAGCATAGTAGAGAAGTAAAACTTATATGCTCCTCATCTGAACTAAATTCCATTCCAAGTTTGGGTTCATATCTCTTTCATCTTGATTTTCTTTTTGTAAGGAAAAATCATTAGTAGGAGAAAAACAACCATCATCAATTTCACAACTACTATTTGATTGGTTGCTACTTAAGTTTACATACTCCATCTCCTCCATTAGTCTACATACAAATAATTTGTGACTATTAAAACTAAAAAAATTAAATATGCAAACCAAAATAAAAACTTACAGTAGCCTCTTCCTTTACCCTTTAAATAGTTGGCATTAAAGAGAAGTGGCAAATGGACAAGTAGACAATTCGGAAGAATATATATATATATATATATATATATATATATATATATAATGACTCCAGTCCATACCAGCAAATTAAAATTTGGGGTTAATTTTTTCTAGCTTTCTCAGATTTGGTATTATTTGATTGTAAGTCTTTTTTCTAAAATAAAAAAGCAGCAGCCAATCAAAAGACAACTAAAGACCACCTATCAAAAGACTATGATTATTGACCAAGATTTATGCAGATTTCGAAGACCCAAAAGAATAAGAACAGTTGATAAAACAATATATATGCTCAACAAAAGTAACAACTTCAGCTGAGCAAGATAATTTGTTACAATAGCAGAATGTAAATAGTGATGCCGCTCTGAAAGTACTTTATCATGTATTCTAGAGGATATTAGGCTAAAATTTCCCAATTCTGACGGAGCTATCACCCATCTCACTTGTAACAAAACTAACATATTGGGTGTAAAGATTCGTACGAAGTAATATAAGTTGTAGCATCCATACTATATATGCATCTAAATAGATAACATCTCATCAGATAATTACTCCCTCTCAATCTGATAAGATATAAACCAAGAACTACAAACTGTGTGTGTCTATATATATATATATATAACGAGCAAGAAATAGAGCGAAAGAAAGACCTGGGGCTTCAATTTTATGTTGAATACAGAAATTGAACCGAATGAGAGTGAGACCAGAGGCTTCGATCTGATGTGGAATAGAAAAATTGAACCAAATGAGAGTGAGATCAGGGGCTTTGATCTGATGTCGAATACAGTAACAGAAAAACTAGGGCATCGGCATCGTCATCGTCATCGTCTTGAGAGAAAGAGGGCAAAAGGAGAAAGATAGGGCATTGCTGGAGAGAGAGAGAGCAAAAGGAGCTTGATCTTGAGAATTCTTAAAGCAAGCCAAAAAAAAAAAAAAAAAAATTGAGTTCTGAAAGCTTTAGTTCTGAACGGGTCAAACCCGAATAATTGGTAATATCCAGCGTAATTCTAGTAATGCTTTTGGATACTTGTCATAGAATGATTGGGTCATGTACTTTGATTGGATCAAGTTCATCCAACCTAAGTTGGATACAAGTATTTTTTTTTTTTTTTTTTTTCTAAAATATTGTAAGAATTATGTGGAGACACAAAAATTAAAAATAAATAAAATAATAATAATCTTTTTCTTTTTTTATTTGGAGATCTCAGGAGGTCCGAATCCTTGTTAATTGTCCACTTGATACACTAGTCTTTATTTTACCAAATTCTTTTGGATTTTTGATATGTGTTTGCATTACCGCAAAGAATTCAAACTTAATTTTTTTATGATTTGATCAGATTTATTTTACTTAATTGTCAACTTAAACCACTACTCCACATGTTATCTGTTGGTACCACTTTGAAAACTGGGCTCAAATGCTAAATTTGGGACTCTGTATTTAAATTTGGAGCAAATTTAGATCAAACAATTCGGTTCTCCCAAACAGAGTGTAAGAAAAAGTATACTAATTTAATGAAAATAAGGCAACCCCACGTTTTGTATCTGATTTTGGATGCACTGAACCCTACTAGTTGAATTGTCTTTACAAGAACACGCCTGATAATAAATCAACTACCCATTAGTCATCAAATGCAGCAACAACAACAATACCCATATGCAGCTATTTTCATACATACATTAACCATGTAGACTGACTGCATAAACAAAAAAGCATTACCACTGCCTCTAGCTTTATAATAACACCACCACCACACATAAAAACCTAATTTTTACCATTATTATTTTACACAACCACTGCTCCGGCCTGCTTGATGGGTGAATCACCTGAAGTAGCATATTCACAAACTGTAACAACTAACAGCTATTCAGAAGTAGCTTCATTTGTTCTGCTCTAAACTCTTATATAACCTGTGCCAGGATTGAGATCCAATCTTAAATGGGCTTAAATCAAACACAAAGACACTTAATATGGTTTGGCAAACATGCGTACATGGATGACAAAAGATAATTCACTATGTTTATAGAGGAATTACAAAAGATAGAATACGCAAACACAAAATACACCTGGTGCATGAATTCTTCCTACAGTGTATCCTAACAACCGATATGCTGAAACACCTATCACTTTGTTTCATTGCTCCAAATGTTCTTTCATCTCTCAAAAACATCCATACAAGCCCTATGAGCTGAAAATAACAAATTCCTCACGAGCTCTTCTTCTCTCGAATGCATTCAAATTTGCATAGATTTCAAACAGATATCCTTGCAAGCTCACTTCTCTTGTGAGAATCCTAACCCAAATTTCTTACTCGACAAAGAATACAATTCTTTCTTAATTTAGTCATTCCAACAAGAACTTTTTTGAAGAAGATACAGCTCCTAAAAGATAATTAGAAATAAGAATTTGAGAAATGTCTTAACATCATTTAGCTAACATATTTAAACAAACCTAGCTTGTCGCAAAACCACCTAAACTTAGCTAGAGAAACAAGTACACTAAAGCAACTGGAACCAAACACTATATTATATGGACCCTGATATGCGTATCAACTGAGGTTATACATGTAAACCAGAATTATCTAAATCTCACATAACAAAAGTCTGGCACAATTATATTGCAAACCAGAATTATCTAAATCTGACAGATAGACGCATCCCCAACAAATATCTAGAGATACATACCATGTCATACTCCCCACCCATTCATGCACCGACCAAGAGCTGAGTATCAACTTTGTGCAAGTACCTCTACCAGAAACAAAAACAAAAATGTGGCGCCAAATATGGCTCATCTTCCACAGACAAACAGTCAAACAGAGGCATGGCCGGAAATTTTCCCACAAAATTCCTACTACCAATTATAAAAGAAATTAATCTTAATGTAATAACCCATCACTAAAAACTGCTCAATGAATAAAAGTCTGTTTGAATGAAGATATTAGCAAGTTTTGAGCACAAGTTGTATGTAACTCACCGCAAAGTAGCAAAAACTTGTGGGTATTCACCAAGGCAAAATATTTTTTTGTAAATAGTCCTAGGGAAGAAGCCATTGCAAGTCTTCCTCAATAAAACAAAGAGAACAGCTCAATGTACAAAGAGTGCACAAATTGAAAGCTACGCACATTTGGTGATATAACTACGAAAGAGCTTTTGCAACCTTAACTAAAGCATAACTTGATGATTGTATACGATCCACAATTAAGCCATGCTGTATGGCTGTGTCTGTGTGGTGTGCTCCTGCATGTGTAAGGCACATGCACCGAGGACCTTTGCCGTTACTTGCACTCAATGAATAAAAGAAAATGAAGAGAAGAAGGCCCAATTCAACTCAACAATACAAAATATCAGTTGATAAAGGGGTTTTCCAATATAAACCATTGATTTTAGCACATAAGAACTTGGCATGTCTATAAGCAATTATATATAGCAGCGTAAAATCGTCCTACACTTTTTGTCTGGTGATATGCAAGGAACATCTGAATCTTTTTTCTTTTTCTTTTTCTTTTTTTTTTCTCTTTCTTTCTTACAAACATCTTAAATCATTTAGTTGTATGAGTGATCTTTTGTTATTCCAAAGAACTGAAGAAGACACGTTCTTGAAGAATAACAAGCGAAAAATCTCAATATTTGTTCATCAAACAAAACTTCTTGTTTGGATGGCTAATGAGGAGATCAATCACGACAACAAACTAGATCGCAAGAGAATCGAATTCTGAAATCAACAGAAACAGAATCCAAGGAGGACATCTGGTGTAAGTTTGAATCTATGATAACTACTAACTAGGTGATTTTGGGGTTTAGAATTTAAGACCTAAGTTGTATTACCTTTCTCCTTATAGTGGGATTTGATCTGTTTGGATTAGAACCCGTCGTTTTTTTCTCATTGGTTGCTTGTATGGTTGTTTAACTTTCCTTATTATTGCTTTTATTAATTATCTATGTTGAATTATCAATCAAATCCAATAAACGGACAAAAACCTATAAACAAATTAGAATCAACAATTGGTATAATTAAATTAAAATTATTGAAATTAGGATTTCGAAGATTTATTCACTCCCTTCTAGGTCTAATTGTATAGTCTAATTGTGCATAATGTACTCCGGTGTATCAAAGCCTTAGGTAATGGTCTTATTCCTCACTAGAGATGGCTTAAGAATTTAGTGCTTTTTTTTTTTTCAAAGATTGAAATGGAGAAGCTTTTGTTCAATCCTAGTATAAAACAATAAAAGCTGACAAACAAGTTATGACTTACACATCTTAAATTTTGCCTTAGAAACCCTAAAATCGAGTCTATTGATCACAACAAATTTTGTGCAAAAAGACAACAGGTCTATTAGATATAATTTTGAATATCTCTGCCTCCTTTAGGTTGGGAATTGTCTTTGTCTCTAATTTATCGTTTCACTTAGAAATTCCTGTTACTAATCGGTAAATGAGTGTGAGAATATGTTCAGATCAGAGGATGGTGAGGCTGGTGCCTAACCTAAGAACAATAGGTAGTTATCATTGAATACCCTACACATATAAGGTAACTAAAATGCACCACTAGGTGTAGTTTGACAATAACATACACACTCCAGTATGCAGAGTAACCAAATTTTTCTCGCGAAATTTTCAGAAGGAAACAAATGCCAAAAATGATACCATTAAATCAATATTCAGTGAAACTTCTATTTATTTATATATTTTTTAATTAGCCCATAGAATGAGTATTTTCTGAATAGTAAATAAATCTTAAGTATGAATATTTTGAACATGATATACGTCTCATGCAGGCCTCACATCTTGAGGTGTGAACCAAAAGCCAAGCCTGAAGACCATGCTTCAAAATTCTTTTCCCCAACCACATCTAAAGGGACGCCAATGTTTAGCCTTAAAGACTTAAATGTCCTAATCTAGTGGCCTGACCACCAAGCCAAAGTCCCTAATTTTATTTCATGCAATGCCTTTAGTAAGAATTAAGGAATTGCATGGACTTAACTCTTAGATATTGGGTTTCCCAAATTCCAACACCTACACCTATAGTCATACCAAACAATAATTAACATTAAGCAACCATAGTCTCAAGTTTTCCGTGCGTGGCCTTTCATGCAATGCTTTTGGTACGAGCTAAAGAAATGCATGAACTACTCTCACACTGAAAATGAACAGTTTTCGTGGTTAAGATTATTTGGTGTTCATCATAGTCTAGTGGACCCATTCAAGCTCCTCAACCACTTCATGTACCAAACTGACTCGCAGGTCATATGGATATTCACCGATGACTCTTGCTTGCAAACTTTGATCAGCATCCTTGAACAGGTAAAACCAAGGAGTTGAATATCTTTAACTACAAACAGACCTGAGCAAATATTCAAACAATGCAATAAGGAACTAGCAAACTTATCTTCAGCATGGCCTGTGATAAGAAACAGATAGAACATCTGCTAAAGCTAAGAATCTTTAATTTAATAATTGGAAGACTGTCCATTTAAAATGCCAACCATTGCAGGCAAAGAGAGTGACGTGCAAGCCTGATTATCAGATTAAAGAACAAGGAACCACATATCAAAAATCGATATGTCATGAGGTGTAGAGCATATCTATCTGCTAATAGCCCCAAAAACGGGCATTACCCAATGGCCTAGTTGGTAGACCACCCAGCTCCCCAAACAGGTGTGCCTGTGTTCGAGTCCCCCTCCACCCGAGTTTGGCAAGATGAAAACCAAAAGCCACAATGCCACACTAGATCCAAGAACTAAGAAACAAAACCAATAAAAACATAAAATCTTTAAACTATCATTCACACAGTACCCCAAACAGGTGTGCGGCGGGAATGCTAACTAAAAGGTATATAAAAATCATTGATGTGAAGCATGTAAGTAAAGTAAATCATCTGTGGGAATTCCAAGGGAAACATTTAGTCAATGTAGATCAAATCCATTAAAAAAAAAAAAGGTAGATCAAATCCATTGAAAATAGAAGGTATTACACGCTAGGTTAAGCAGACTCTATCCCAAGAATCCGCTAGTTACATATAACTCAGACTCATGCCAGAGAATCCAAACTGATTTCTGCTGCTGTCAATCAACAAATCTGCTACTCACATGATTCGCTTCTCCTTATAGCACAATGATTTCCATGACTGTTTTCTGTGTAGATGATAGATGATCTTGGTGTTGATTATTCGATGTAGCACTAGCGTTTGTTTGATGATTAACAACAGTAACACACTGTCTAGATGTTTGGTGATGTATGTGAAAGAAACAAAATCTAGCTATCAAAATTGCTAGGATGCACTCAATATGCTTATGTAAGCTTTGTATTCACTTAGGCCTTAGGTTTTATGAGCACATATGTTCTCCCTTAGACTCTTGAGGCTGAAAGAGATTAGAATCAAAAGAGGTTTAATTTTATTTGAAACTGAAATTTGCAAGTTTAACACGATGAAAAATATTTTCAATCGATCGAATTGGTCCAGCGGCCTTCAATGGATCCCTTAATCAACTGTAGTTGCCTTCTCCTGATTATAAAAGGATTTTGAAATTAGGTACTTTCAAAAACAATTTCATGCATGCTTAAGAGGATTTTCAAAGATCAAAACATATAATTAGAAATCCCTAATGAGTTCAAAACATGAATGCATATTCATTAACCCTAATTTTATGTACGTAATTGAGAGTGTTAATTACCTTTTTGCCCTTGTTACTTGAATTCCACTTTTTCACTATGTTAGAGTTAACTAAACTATCTAAACTTAATTTTAAACAAACTAATCAAAAGGTCAAATAAAAACGTAAAGACTACATGTTTTGAATGATGGAGAGGAGGGTTTATACTTTATACTACTTGTGCCATGGCCTGGTGCTGCCAACAATGTCCTATTAACCTAACACAAAGCATGATATTTAAAGAGCAAAGTTACAAGTATGGAAAACTCTAGTTTTTTATCTACCAAAAATAAATAAATAAATGGAAATGCAAATTAGAAACAAGGAGGTCACAACTATAGAAAAGATGACAGGATATGAAATCAGCAGGACAATTAATTGCACAGCAGATTATAGGGAAATGTAGTAAGATTATAGATTTAGTAGTCATACCACAAACTATCAAAACATACTTATAGAGAATGCTAAAAGAAAAAGCAACTGGATAAGCATGGCATGCAAATAATTTAAACAAAAAACTAATTAGAATATCAAAAATAATAGCATTATGAAAGATTACAAGCAGCGTGATTAGTTCCAGAACATCCAATTAAAATAAAAGGAAAGCAATATAATTAATTAACAAAAAAGGAGGACCAATAAAGAAAAGAACAATAAGGAACTGGAGATGTACTAGGCTTCACTCCTCATCCGATGATTTGCTCAGCATGCAATAAGTAAGATATGCATCGGGACAACTAAATGATCTTACTTGCACTCAACACCCGCTTCAGCAGCTCGACGAGGCTTGCTTTTTCGCCTGCTCCCATTATGACGAAAACCATTGGACTTAGTCGAGTCATCAGTGCTTGATCTGGTTCCAACTCCATTTTCCTCTTTGATTGAATCAGGCTTCTCTTTTGCTTGCAACTTCCGCTTCCTCTTCTTTCCATTCTCTGCTAATGTTGAACTTTTCATCTCTTTGCTTGAAATACCATTTTTTGTATTCTCACTGTCTTCCTCTTCTATTTTCTCAGATTCTTCCTCATCAATCTCATCCTTCAAGGGTTTTTGTGGCCTTCCCCTTCTCTTCTGGGCCGGAATTTTTTCATCACCACTTCCGGGATCTTCGTGATTGCTACCAGTTAACTTCTTTCCCTTTCCCCTGCCTCTACCCATAACCGCAAAACCAGAAAAGAAAAACTCAAACAAGTAGTGAAGATTTCTGTCAAGAAAAGAAATACACCGTAAGACATTGAACATTGTGCTTCAGTGCTTCACACATCAAAACTGAAAAGATTAGCCAGCAATCCAAATATAGCATAAAAGTTTTTCCGAGAAAAAAATAATGCATGGCAAATCTACAAACCTTTAACATCCTTTGACAATGAAATCATCTTATTGGGCTGTACATGGAACGTCATATGAATAAAAAATTGTTTTCAATGGCATTTTTCTGAAATCTATTCACCACAATTATGGATAACTATTTTTGTTCTCCATGGAATGATATGAGCCCTTCAAAGTTCTTTTAGATAGGTAAGTACATCTTAATTAAAGAAAAATATTGTATATCAGAAGAGGGAATACCCCTGAGATCCAACTGGTACTGTCTAAAAAGCTTGCAAGAAAAAGCAAAACAAGAAGACATTTTTTTCCATGTAGTTCAAATAGCAGCATCAGCACTGTCTGCAACATTTACAGTAGACAGGAAAGCAGCTGCACCATAGATGTTAAGACATGACTAATCACTATCAAGAAAACCGGCAAGTAGTGAACCTAATATAGCAACACACATGGCAGCACTCCATCTCAGTCTCAGAAGAAGGGAAACTCCTAGTATACATGGAGCAGATAATACTTCAATTATCTAGGCATATGATTTGACCTTTGAAAACCAAGCCTAAGCAATATTAGCATTTTTCAGAAGAATTTACATCTCATCTCGCAGCATCCTGTGTTCCTTCAAACTCCAATTTCTTGCCATCTTTTTTTCTTTCTGAAAATTCTCGGATTTCTTTCAATCCAGATACAGTAAAACGAGCAAGGGCCAATGCTTTGAGCTGAGCAAGAAAATAACTCCCTTAAAATGGATGGAAATCCCAATCAAATTAGCTTTTCAAAGTTTTCCTATAATTTTTCATGACCATACCGATTGCTCAAATTTATCCACCAACCAGGACGTTTTCGTGCTTTTAGGGGGAAAAGCTTTATGTATTTCATTTCATCATATTTTCATGGAAAATGAGATTAAATTAGCAGCCTAACTATGAAAATAAGAACGTTCAAAGGAAATCATCTGACACCCTCCCCTCTAAACCTCATTCAAATGAAATCTTACTCTCCTAAACCCCAATAAAAGAAATGAACTACATATAACAGTGCTATTCTTTTACATGAAAATGTATACTAATTCTTTTAAAAAATTGAAATCATAGTAATAGATAATAAAGCAAACTAATACCCAGAAGAAAAGTATTATATTCTAAAGAGACTCAAGTTTAGGAAAGAGACAGACAAAGGAAAATCACAATTAGCGAATACAAAATATTAAGCATCACACAGTTTAGACAAAGCCCAGATGAAATTATACAGTAAGATCTATAACAAAGCATGAAAATCACAGAACTGAATGCAAGATTTGATTCTTGCAAGGGAAGAAGAAGTTAACATACCTAAACTAACAATCAAACGGAACCAAATCAGCTTTCAATTCCAGAACCTGAAACTACAAACAAGAGAAAAGCAGTACATGAATAAAAATACATCTTTCAAAATTAGATAGATAATAATCTTAGAGAGAGGAATGCAACTAACCAGGAAGTGACCCATAAGACGCATTAGTGTGAATCTGCTAAAGCATGACAACAAACTCAAAATACACCAAGCCCGGATGTGCTTTTGTCTCTATAGATGGCTTTGAACAGATAAAGTAATCAGATAAAGATTTTCATCCCAAAAAATATGATCTGAGGATGTTGTATTCAGAACCCAGATCAAGAAAGAGCAGAGTACGAATATAGATGATCAAACAGATTATAAGAATCGAAGTTCGTGAGACAGAAGAACTGCCGCCTACACTCCTGAAATGGGGAAAGACGGATGAAATGAAACAGAACACGAGAGAGAGAGAGAGAGAGAGAGAGAGCGCAGAGAAGCGTAAAGAGATATTTGTTAATTGGCTCTGCAGTCTGTCTGTATGTCAACTGTGCTCCGTATATTGTCTATATCAGTAATTTAGTAGTAACTCTTTATAAAATTAGAAATTGTGCAAGGGCTACATTGTCCGTACCAGTAATTTAGTAATACCTCTATAAAATTAGAAGGAAAATTTTAGTAAATGACTAATTTAGATGCCCTAATTACAGATAAAATAGGATTAAGTATCTAAAACACCTTCTTTTTTGTTTTTTTTTTTTTTTTTTTTTACTTTGGGTATATAACTTCCTCAAGAATTTTAAAATATTATAAAGAATGACTTTTTGACCGTTAAAAAAACATGTGTCTACACATGACAGATTAAATTTAAAAAATACCAAAATTACCCTTTTATTGATTCCCAAAACACTCTTCCTTTTTGTATATAAATCTCAAAAATAAACGATATAATAGTAACTTTATATTAACTGAATTTTTATTTTTTAATTGTAGAAAGGACATTTTAGTATTTTTATCACTCCATTAATGTCCAATTGACGGGAGGTTCTTATTTGCTCCTACAATCAACCTTAGGGGGGTTCTTAGAATCTATAGGGAGTTATATGAGTTATATGCATGCTACAGGGGTGTTATATGCTCTCGAGCCGATACAATATATATGAAAAATAATAGGTATATAAAGTCATGGACAAAACTAATTATTAGTATCGGAATAAAATATTTATGGTCCAAAATATCCTCAGCCCTTTTAAAAATATACATCCATCTCACTCTTTCTACTCGCTCTCTCTCTCACACATAACAATCCACCACCCATCATTTCTCTCCGACGAACGACCACCACCATGGTTGACCACTAACCACCTCTCTTTCTCTACTCGCTTTCTCTCTCTACATAATATACACACAACAAATCTCAATCTCACACACACACACACACACACACACACACACACCGGCAAAAGTTAACAAACACTTTTCCAAATTAATGGCAACACTCATCGAGGAACCCCAAACATTGAACACCAATCACCGCCACCTACCTCAACCCCTTACCCACTAATGTAAATCCATCAAACCCACACACAAAACACCGTTGAGAGCAAACCCATCAAACCCTAAACATAGAACACCAATCACTCGAACCTGAATCACTTAAACACCAAACACAGAACACCAATCACTCAAACCCCAAACCTAAATCGTAATCCCAATCACTCGAACAACCCATCAAATCCCAAATACTTGAACACCAATCGAAACCCAAACACAGAACACCAATCGCAGTTAGGAATGGCAATTACCTCATTTAAGATTTTTGGGTAGGGACGGGTTTAATGGTGAAAAATTGCGCAGGTGCGGGGCGGGGATGAGGGAAGGCCACCCCACCCTCCCCTGTTTATAAAGTGAATGTACTGGTTTATCCTTATAATTTATATTATACACTAAAATACCCCTTTACATTAACTCAATATACCAAATAAAACATCACAACCTTAATTTTTTGATTTTGCAAAAACCCAAACACACTCTCACCACAGCGGCGCCCTTTCACTTATTACAGAATCACATCCAGCCCTTCTCTCTCTCATCGCAATAGTGACAATTTCTCTTTTTCGGTCTCATTACAATTTAGCGACTAACCCATCTATCTCTCTCATTGCAGCGATGCCAACCCTTTTCTTTCTCATTGCAAATCAACGATTTCTTTCTCTTATTGTAGCAATCATAAAGCTCCTCTATAGACCTCTATTATCTGTTTGATCTTATATATTTCCCTAGGGCAAAGGTTTGTCAACACTTGCTCGTGCTTTCAGATTCATGATGTTTAAAGTTTTATTAGAAATTCAAATCTATCTTATTATAAGATGATCTCTTGATGGTAGTAACTTGTGATACCCTTCGATTCTAGAGCCATGGGTGATCAAGTCCGAGCACAGATCTGAGGAATACCAGACAATCAATATGTAAACAAGTAGGAATATAAAATGAAATAAGAATAAATTAATAAGCTGAAAAGAATTCTAAACATGAAAATCCTCCAAAATAAAATTTTAAACCTTCAAATCCGTACAACTTAGTAATCCATCTAATGGACCCCTAATAATCCCAAACGATAAATAAATTTACAGAATCGAAATCCAAAACTAAAATAAGAAAGAAAATCCTATATAGTCGGAAGAGTGAGAGTCTATATCGGCATCCCCACGATCAAGCTCTAAGCCCGGTACCGACGAACACCTAAAAAATAAGAGTGGGTCAGGCCTACATGCAAGTTCTATCCTACTACAATTCATACATAAACCCGATACGCAGATATATCCTAAACAGCTCGGCAATAACTAAAATAGTCCATAAATATATAAGATGCTCACTAGCCTATCGTGTAGTTCAGTCTGAGTAGCAGGTAACATATAAAACACGTTTTCCAGCGGCCAAGTACCTAGACCTACCAGGGAACATCAACTATATCTAGTTACTCAACCTTTGCGATATACATACTCTAACCATGATCCTGAGACTCAAGCTCATATTAGAGTATCATATGTATGTATATATATATATATATATATATATATATATATATATATATATAAATCCTTCCTAATACAGAAACGTAACGCAACCATCCGTTATGTCATTCAACTGTTTTAGTTTACAAGACATGCATAGGATTTAACTGTTTTAGTTAATCCATTCTGTATGTATGAAGAGGTAGGATTGAACTTTTTGATCTAATCCATCCCTGATATGCCACCGTCCCAGACCGGTGCATATAATGCATATGATCCATAAATGATGCACACTAAAATGAACATCAAGTATATCTAGAAACCAACATAATAGAAATCAGATATAGATAAGATCCTATCATGCATCCAGTATATGATTATAATCATAGAACTTCCATTTAAATTGCTCAAGTATTGATAGACAATTTAAACCATCCATATCCATCTAATTGACAAAACAGAGAATATAACAGTTCATCAATTTACATCCATAGCATGTTATAATGATAATCAGAAGTAATAACTGAGCACATTATACCCAAAATCCCAAAGAAATCCTTTCATACTAGTCCATTAAATTTACTAAACCAGACTAGCAATTTAAACCTTCCACAATCCTTAACAGCATGCAAAATATTATATAAGTTCCATGATGTCCATTTAATCCTTATTTATGCATCCAAAACATGGTACAATGATACTCAGAAGTATAGACTGAGCACATACACTCCAACCCTAACATACATTCCTAATAGTCCGTTTAACTAGCTAAAACAACCATTAGCAAATAAACTTCTATATCCCGTGACAACATGCATATTTTTATTTAATTTCATGAAGTCCATTAGCATCATATAAACCAACATTCCTGGGACTCGAATATGTTATATCAATCATATATATAGAATCCTAAAAAATAATTTCCATACTGGTCTATTTTAATTTGCTAGAACAACCTAGCAATTTAGCCTTTCCCCATCCTTGACAACATGCCCATTAATCTTTTAAAATTTATGTTGTCCATTCCCATAGCCTGAACCAATAAATCCTAGGTCTTAAAAATGCTTTGTACATCATTTAAGAACCCCCATGAAATTTCAGAATTGCCCTTTAGACCTTAAAGTAGGGAAAAATACCAAAAATACCCCCATAGGGGTGTTTTTTCAAGAGAGCCGGCTCCTATGAAGGGGGAGCCGGCTCTTAGACTTCTAGAGCTGGCTCTCCCTCATGGAGAGCCAGCTTTCTCTTCATGGGAGCCGACTCCCTCCATTAGAGCCTTCTCTCTGCCTCCTCTGTTCGTCTTCTTCGCTACCGGCGAACTTCAACCTTCCGTTCCAATTTTTTTTAAAGTTTTTAGGTTTCAATAAAAGTCCAAACAGTCCTAGAAACTCCTCAGATTCCATTATGAATTAATTTACAAAATTTTAAAATCACAATCCACACAGTTTATGCAAGAAACCGATTTCAGTGATTTAAACATAAAACAAATTACAGTCCGATAAAACATGCATCAACCATCAGTTTTAAAAGTTAAATTAATCCCTAGAGACTATAAAGAATGCACAGAATATATGTTTACAGGAAGGAGATAGAATGAAACTTAGCTTTAGGTTTCGGTTTGAAACCTTTCAACATCGTCTCTAAGTTCCGACGACTGCCGACTGCTGGCAAATCTCTTACCGCTCGATTTTCATCCCACAAGCCATCCATTCTTTTCTCCTTGGTCCGAATTTCAGTCCGTAGCTGGAATCATAACCGGTTCTCCCAGTTTCCCTCTGTGTTTTCCCCTCAAACCCTCTCTGTTTTCTCTCTACCTCCAGTTACGGGAAAAGGGTTCTAAAACCCTTGCAAACACTAAGTTTATATATATATAGGCTCCTATAAAACCCTAATCCTAATTCCAGCCTAAATATAAGTCGGCTAATCTAATTATAAAATAAAACCCTAAACTTAATTATAAGTCAAACAATGCATTAAACCAATGACTAAACAATTTACGTCCACCCTAAAGCACATCTGTAATTACAATTAAATAAATAATTAAATAATTACAATTAAAACAAATAAATAGCAAATAAATAATTATAATTAAACAAATCATTCAAAACAAATAAACAATTAATTTAAATAAATACATAATTAAACAATTACGCAAATAACACATAAGCCATGTAACCAAATAAAATGCACCAGAAATCAAATTTAAATTCCCCTTTTATCCTTTTGAAAACTAGGGGTATTATATAACTTTATTGGGTATATGATGAATTGATTGATATATTTGTATACTTTGTGGGTTTGATTCATGAAAATGTTTTTTAATAGCTTGCTTTATTATATTTGTGATTTTGTTATTCTTGGTATTTGCTAAATTCATTATTGAATTTGTGAATTTATGGATTTTGACTGATGATGTATGATAAACATTGAATATTGCATATTAAATGTTAAGGCCTTAAGCGATACTTTTATTCGGTTTTATATTGATTTTCGTTTATTTGCTATTGTAGGTGATTTTTCGAAGAATTTGATCAAAT